GCCCTGGAGGACATGCGGTGCTCACACACACAAAGGCAGAGAAATCAGAGAGAAGGAATTTATCAATTTCACCAATACCTACTAAACACAAAGCTCATCTACAAAGAACCTATTTGCTTCTCCTCCACCTCAGTCTTTGCTTAAAAACAGATTCCTTTGTTAAGGGGGAAAAAAAGTGGTTTAAGGATTCCAAAAAAACCGGAGTCTGCCTTACTTAGTCTAATTCAGGCTGCTATAACAAAACATAGACTGGAGAGCTTAACATATAATTATTTCTCACAAGTCTGAAGGCTGGGAGTCCAAGATCAAGACACTGGCAGATTGATTTGGTGTCTGACAAGGTCTGGCTTCCTTGTTGAGAGGTCAGCTCACTGTGTCCTCACATGGTAAAAAGAGCAAGGGAGCTCTCTGGAGTCTCTTTTTACAAGGTCGCTAATCTCATTCATGAGGCTCCACCCTCTCAGGACCTAAACACCTCCTACAGTTCCTACCTCCTAATAATACCATCACCTTGGGGTTAGGATTTCAACATGGGAATGTGGGGGGATAGGACACTCAGTCCATAACAGTTTCTTAACGCAAGGTGTTCCTAAGAAAGTGTGGGGCCCTACTCAAATGAAGGTAAAAACCTAAACCCATATATGGAAATAAAACCCAGCTGTGTACAAGAATTGTGACAAAGGGCTAGGAGTTGAATGTACTCACTGCCACTTCTGGTCAAGGAAAGGGGATGGCTTACAAAACAGCTTGTAAAAGTATTAACTGTAAGTAGTAACTTACAGTAGGATCCAGGGCCAAGAGCCTATATTCACTGGGGCCTTTTCATAAAATAAGCTTTTTATTTTGGAAAAATTTAAACTTAGAGCTAGTTGTAAAGATAATATGCAGAGTTTTGTTACTCTCTAACTCAAAGCTCTTGACTGTTAAACTTCTTCTGTAACTATGGTACAACTGTCAAAACTAAGAAATTAATGATGGCACATTTCTAGGAAGTAAACTCTAGACTTTATTAGGATGTCACCAGTTTCACCACTAATCTTCTAACCTTGGATCTTTTTACAAAATGTTTATAGCAAGGAGCCAAAGGACCAGAAAGGCAGTGTGCAACCCAGACACTAGGTTCTAGTCCCAACTGTGCTTCATGTTAACTGTAGAACCTTAGAGCTTGTTTTCTGAGCTTGTCTCTTCTCTAACATACCTCCATCTCACAGATGCAGATTCTAGACATAAAGCTTACCCTCATCTCTATTCCCAAGCACTTCTCTGACAGCCACTAGCTAGAGTTAAGGAAGACACATCTCCAACAGTGACTCCAGCTGAGACTCTCCAGTTAGAGAATGGAGTCCCTTTGGGAATTTTCAGATTTCAAAATTCAAAATCCACGTCTCAGATGGCCGGAGGGTGGATACCCTTTCTTAGGGGTCTGAGAAGACACTGCAGCAGAGACCAGAGCTGTCCATAAACATCCATTTTTCCCTTCTTCCTGGGTATGCATTACATTTCTGAGGCTTTCTTGAATTAAGGGGCACCATGCAACTAAGTTCTAGCCAACAGAATGTGAGTGGAAGTTTGTGCTACTTCTAGAGCTGGCCTGTTACATCTGCCAAGCAATCTCCCAAGTTCTTTTCAACTCACTAAAGGGACAACACCCAAAGCAATCTTGGAGGCTGTGTTAGCATTGGCATCAGCCTGGTCCCTAGACAACTGCATGGAATAGAGTACCCCTCCCACTAACCCAATCTGAAACTACCCTAGACATTACATGAATGAAGGAGGAAAAAAAAACTTCTATTGTGATAAGTTAGTCCATCTGATAGTTGTCATGACAGTTTAGCCTAATAACAGTGCAAAATGTCAATTCTATTAGAGCAAGACCTTGTTTCTGATCTCCACTTGGGGCCTCAGGTGCATGGAACTGAGGTGACCACCCTCCACGTTCATCCACACGAGGCCTCTCCTGTTTCCCTTTCCCTCCATCATTCCCTCTTCCAGTCCCATTCTGTCTCTTCCCACAGACCCTATTCCAGTGAGTTAAGGTGTATATTCTCCTTAAAAAACATTGTTTAGTGTGTTTAATTTACTTAGCTGGTTTTCGCTGTAAACTGATTTTTTTTTTAATTTTCCTCACCTGGAGTCTATCATGTCATAGCAGTTCCTAAATGCTTGCATCTGACTGCTTTTATAATATTCTATCATATGCATATACCACATTTTATTTATCAATTCCCTTAGGGACAGACATCTAAGTTGCTTCCAGCTTCTTGCTACCCAAACTATATATAGATAAGCATCCTTTTATGTAACTCCTTGTGGATCTGTGCAAGTTTCTCTGAAGGATATAGCCAGGAGTGGAAGTACTTTGATGTAGAGTATATACATTCTTAATGCATTAGTTACCTATTGCTGTATAACAAATTATCTCAAAACTCAGTAGCTTAAAACAATAACATCTACAGAATGAGAATGAATGTTGGTAAATCATGTAACTGATAAGAAACTTGCAACCAGAATATATAAAGAATTCTACATACGGGTGTGTCTGTGTGTATGTGTTTGTGTGCGTGCGTATATACATATGATAATCCAACTGAAAAACGGGCAAAGGATTTGAATAAACATTTCTCCAAAGAAGATATATAAAAATGTTAAACATTAGGAATTAGGAAAGTGCAAATCAAAACCACAATGAGATACCACTTTACACCCACTAGTATGGCTGTAATCAAGGCAGAGAAAAATAGGTGTTGGCAAAGATGTGGAGAAACTGGAACTCTCGTACGCTGCTTTGGAAGTTTGGCAGTTCCTCAAAAAGTTAAACATGGGGTTTACTATATGACCTGGCAATTCTACTCCAAGAGAAGTGAAAATGTACACCCATACAAAAACTTGGACATAAATGCTCACAGCAGCATCATTCACAACAGAACGTATAAACAATGCAAATGTCCATTGACTAATGCATAAATGATATGTATGCTATCCACAAGGGAATATTATTGAGCCAAAAGGAGGAATGAAGGACTGATATGTACTACAACACAGATGAAACTTAAAAACATTATGCTCAGTGAAAAGAGCTAGACACAAACGGCCACATACTGTATTAGAGCCCCAGTCACATACTACATGAATTGTCTAAAACAGGCAAATCTAGAGAGACAGATCAGTAGTTGCCGGGGGGGGGGGGGGCGGGGGAGTTGGGGACAAGTGGGGAGTGATGGAGGCTAATGGATACAAAGTTCTCATAGTCACAGAGTGATCCAAATGTTCTAAAATAAATTGTGATGATATGTGTACAATCGTGTGATAATCTAAAAACCACTGAACTGTGCTTCATGGGAAATGAGTAAACTGTATAGTGAGTTATATCTCAATAAAGCTTTTTAAAAAAAATGAAGACCTATTATTTCACTGTTTCTTTGGGTCAGGAGTTTAGAACTAGGTGATCCTGGCTCCAGGTCTCTCATGAGGTTGTGGTCACATGTCAATCAGGACCACATTCATCTAAAGGTTTGAAAGGAACTAGAGTATCCACTTCCAAGGTGGTTCACTCACATGGTGGGGTTGGGGTCAGGTAACTCAGTGCTGTGTAGGGTAAGAGGCCTAAGTTCCTCTCCACGAGGGCCTCTCCAGGGGGCTGCTTGAGTGTCCTCTTGACATAGCAGCCGGCTTTGTCTGGAGCAAGGGATCCAAGAAAGTACAAGATAGATGTTTCAATGTCTTTTATGACCTAGCCTCAGAAGTTACACATTTCCAGTACATCCTACTGGTTATGCAGAACAGCCCTATTCTATACAGGGTTTGAATACTAGGAGTCAGGGATCACTGGGTTATGCTGAAAGCTGGCTACCAACGCCTGATGATTAGGAAGATGATAATAAGAGCTAATAATTTCGTGACATGTATATATGCCAAGCACTGTTCTAAGCTGAAAATAAATTATTCCTACAACGTAGGTATGATTATCTCCATTTCACAGATGAAGAAACTAAGGCATAGTTAAGTGGCTTACCAAGATCACACAAATAGTAAAACACGTATCTGGGATTCAAACTCAGTCAGTATAGCTTCAGAGTCATACTCTTAAAAACTCATTCATGCATCCCAATTATTACTTAATTCCAATTAAGTGTTGCCTATTTGTTCTCCGGAATTCATGTACCAGTTGAAACTCCCATGAGTTTTCATCCCCCATGAAATCTCAGTCTTTTATTTTTGCCAAACCAATAAAGTAGAAACACATTAACACTTTAATTTGCATTTATCTAATCACCAGTGAGGTAATATTCTTATTAGTCATTCTGGTTTTCCCTTTAGATTTTACCTATTTATATTCTTTGCCCATTTTTATGTTTTGTCTTTCTTCCTGATTTGTAGTTCCTTCTACTATACTCTTTTATATACGCAATCCCTTGTCAGTTTTAAACACTGCAAATATTTTCTCCTAATCTATACACATCTTTAGCTTTGACTATCAGATGCTTTGTTGACCAGAAATCTTTGATTATGAAGTAGTTGAAGGTATCAGATCTTATAGACTGCGCTTCGGGGATTTTATTTGACAAATTTATCCTCATCCCAAGGTCACGATGACATTTTCTGATTTTTCCTACTGGCTTTAACATTTTACCTCTCAATTAGAGTTTTAATCGCTTTAGGACGTCTTTGTTTTATATGGTTTGAGGTAGGGATCCAACTTTATTTTTGTCCATACATAAGCCAATTTTCTAAGCACCATACCTATTTCTTCCCCATTAATTTGTAACACTACCTTTAGTATATACCATGTCTCCAGACAGATATGTCTATTTCTAAGTCTAGTTTAGCACTAATTCGTATTTTCTAAAAGGAAGTACCCACCGCTGTTGAAGTTTGTACTCACAATGCTTTTTAGATTAATGAAAAATCCAACCATCACCTTCAAGATCCATGGGGGTTCATTCAACATTAGCTTGTATTCTTCCCCAAAACAGAAAACCCAGTTAAGAACATCATTTGGAAAAATAAATGCATGTTTATTAAAAAAGAAAAAATCCTAACCAAGAACAAACCCTGGGACACTGAAAAATCAACCCTTCCTCTGCAGGCCAGCAATAGCCAGTGTTGGCACACCTGAGAAGTTCAAGCGCCTCAGTCCAAACATCAGGTCTTAAAATATTCTTCTGTAGTCAAAACTGGCATTCAAGTTGCTGGTCTGTGTGGACCCTGATTATTAGCATCGACAACTGGTACAGCTGATGTCTGGCTGCCTGATATCCACTAGCACAACCCACCGCCACCCCACCGCCTCAGAAAGGTTACATATCCTCAACACTCCACTTGTAGGCAAGTTCCTCCACCGCCTTCTTGCTGGCAAGCCTGGCAAAGCGCTTCTGTTCAAATCCATTGGATCTGCAATCAAGAGACACTGGTCAGCCAGAATCCTGAACTGGACATTTATTTGTGAAAACAGAGAAGCGTTCACAACCTAATGAACAAGGAGGACAGTAGGGCAGGCATGTGAAAATATTTAAGGCATATGCAACAGAATCAAGAAGCTAAAATACATGACTGATCCTTTCATTAGTTCTTGTCCACACTCTTTGCCACTCTCTTGACAACTGTTTCAGACATTTACCTACCAATCTGCAGGCCCAACTCACTCTCAGCTGATGTCTATGTCTCATAATTTATCCACTCATTACACAAGAATTTAGTGAATTCTCATTACAGGTGTATCTCATTTAATTGCACTTCACTTTATTGCACTTCACAGAATGCATTTTTTTTTACAAACTGAAGGTTTGTGGCAACCCCACATTCAAGCAAGTCTACAGACGCCATTTTTCCAACAGCATTTGCTCACTTAGTGCCTCTGTGTCACACTTTGGTAACTCTTGCAGTATTTCCGACTTTCTCATTATTTGTTATGGTGATCCTCAATCAGTTATCTTTGATGTAACTACTGTAAACTGTTTGTGGATGCCATGAATTATGCCCATATAAGATGGAAAACTTAGTTGACACATGTTGTTTGTGTTCCAACTGCTCCACCAATGGGCCATTCCCCCATCTCTCTCCCTCTCCTCTAGCATCCCTATTCCCTGAGACACAACAATATTGAAATTAGGACAATTAATGACCTTACAACAGCCTCTAAGTGTTCAAGTAAAAGGAAGAGTCACACGTCTCACTTTAAAGCTAGAAAAATGATTAAGCTTAGTGAGGAAGGCATGTCAAAAGCCAAGACAGGCCAAAAGCTACACCTCTCGCATCAATTGGTCAGGTTGTAAATTCAAAGGAAAAGTTACTGAAGAAAATTAAAAGTGCTACTCCAAGGAACAAACAAATGGTAAGGAAGCAAAAAAGCCTTGCTGCTGATAATGGAGCAAGTTTTAGTGGTCTGGATAGAAGATCAAATCAGCTGTAACTTTCCTTTAAGCCAAAGCCTAATCCAGAGCAAGGCCCTAATGCTTTTCAAGTCTATGAAGGCTGAGAGAGGTGGGGAAGCTGCAGAAGAAAAGTCTGAGGCTAGCAGAGGTGGGTTCATGAGGTTCAAGGAAAGCAGTCATCTCCATAACACAGAAGTGCAAGGGAAAGCAGCAGGTGGTGATACAGAAGCTGCAGCAAGTTATCCAGATGATCTAGCTAAGATAGTCAGTGAAAGTGGCTACACTAAACAGATGCTCAATGTAGATTTAACAGGGTCCTACTGGAAGAAGATGCCTTTAGGACTTTCATAGCCAGAGAAGGACATCAGTGCCTGGCTTCAAAGCTTCAAAGGACAGGCTGATTCTTGCTAAAGCGTGAATACAGCTGGTGACTCGAAGTTGAAGCCACTGCTCATTTACCAGTCCAGAAATCCCAGGGCTCTTAAGAATTGTGCTAAATCTCCCCTGCCTAATCTCTATAAATGGACAAAGCCTAGATGACAGCACAGTTGTTTACAACACGGTTTCGCAAATATTTTAAGCCCATTGTTCAGATCTACTGCTCATTAAAAAAGACTCCTCTCAAAACGTTACTGCTCACTGACAATGCACCCGGTCACCCAAGAGCTCTAATGGAGATGGACAATGAGATGAATGTTTTCGTGCCCGCTAACACAACATGCATTCTGCAGCCCATGGATCAAGATGTCATTTTGACTTTTAAGTCTTCTTATTTAAGGAATACATTTCATAAGGTTATTACTGCCATTGATAGTGATTCCTCTGATGGATGGGGGCAAAGTAAATTGAAAGGATTCACTATTCTTGATGCCATTAAGAATATTTATTTTTTAAAAAAGAATATTTATAATTCATGGGAAGAAGTCAAAATATCAACATTAACAAGAATTGAGAAGAATTTGATGGCAACCCTCATGTCACTTTGAGGGATTCAAGACTTCAGTGGAGAAAGTACCCACTGATGTGGGAGGAATAGTAAGAGAACCAGAATCAGAAGTAAAGCCTGAAGATGGGACTGCATTGCTACAGTCTCATGACAAAACTTGAATGTATGAGGAGTTGCACAAATGAACAAAGAAAGTGGTTTCCTGAGATGGAATCTACTCTTAGTGAAGATGCTGTGAAGACCATTGAGGTAACAACAAAGGATTTAGAATATTACCTAAATGCAGCTAATAAAGCTGTGGCAAGGTATGAGAGGACGGATTCCAATTCTGAAAGAAGTTCTACTGTGGGTAAAATACTATCAAACAGCATTGTATCCTACAAAGAAATCATCCACGAAAGAAGAGTCACATTATGTAGCAAATCTCACTGTTGTCTTATTTTAAGAACTTGCCACAGCCACCCCAGCCTTCAGCAATCACCACCCTGATGAGTCAGCAGCCATCCACTTTGGGGCAGGACTCTCCACCAACAAAAATATTATGACTTTCTGAAAGTTCAGATGATGGTTATCTTTTTTTAGGAATAAAGTATTTTTTAATTAAGGTAGATACATTGGGGGTTTTTTTAGACATAATGCCACTGCACACTTAATAAACTATAGCATAGTATACACATAACTTTAACACATATTAGGGAACCAAAAAATTAATCTGTCATTTTCACTTAATTGTGGTGGTCTGGAACCAGACCCCCAGTAATCTCTGAGATGCACCTGTACATACTAGGCACTGTGTCATGAAAATGAGTATGACATAGCATCTGTTCTGATGAATTCAGACTAGTGGAGGACACAGACATTTATACCAATAATTAAATAAAAACCATAAACTGCAGTGGAAATATACAATAGGTATCTTAGAAGCAGAATGGGGATCTTACTCAACTTGGGAAAGAGATGAACAGGAATGGTCAGGAAAGACTTTGTGAAGGTAGCCCCTAAATTAAGTCTGGAAAGATAGAGCTAACAACAGAGTTGGAGGTAGGGAAGACCAGAAAGGTCAGGAGAGAGCATTTCAGGGCAGAGCACAACATGACTAACAAGAACAAAGATGCAAAAATAAGAAATAGCTTGGTACATGCAGGGAACCAAAGGCAAACTGATATAGCTAGAGCCTAAAGTATGATGAAGGGAATAGCATGAGACAAAGTTAAAAAGCTCAGATTTTATCCAGAAGGAATAGATTTGAAACAGGAGCAGAAACTGTATTTCAAAAAGATCACTCTGGAGGAGACTGAAGGCAGGAAAGTTACTGCAAGGTACAGGCAACAGATGATTAAAGCAATGATAAAGGAGACTTCATGATAGATTAGGTAAGAGCAAAGAAAGGGGAGGAAAGTTTGACTCACAGGTTAATAATTTTAGTAACCAGATGAATGAGGCTGCACTAAGCAGGATAAAACAGGAAGAGGAGCAAGTTAGGGGAATGGAGGCTGATGACCTCTTTTGAATACATTGCATTCAAGGTGCCTCAGATACATATCAATACAGAAATCCAATGCACAGCTATTTACGCCAGACTAAACTGCAAACACAGATCTGGGGATCACTTACATACATAGGTGGTAACTGAAGGTATGACTAAATAAGATTCAGCCAGAGTGAGAACAGCTAAGGATAGGGATGGAGCCCCTAGCAACATTTAGGGCACAAAGAGGGAAGAGAGTTCATAAAGATGGCCAAGAAGAAGAAAAGAACCAGGAGTGGGGTGTCATGAAAATTTCAGAGTCAACCTCAACTCCCTTCAATACTATGCATTCCGTCTTCTTACATAAACTTCTTGAAAGGGCCTGTAGTCACTGTCTACACTTCCTCACTTTTCATTCATTCCTTAACACATTAGACCCTGGCTTTTGTCTCACCATGCCACAGAGTTCGCTCTCTTTAAGGTCACCAGTAACCTTCCTTATGGCCAAGTCCAGTCGCCAGGTCCTACTACCTTATCCCCTGAGCACTTCCCCATCTCCTCTTCTCTCCATTCCACTCCCCCTGCCACAGTTCAGGCCTCGGTCTGTCTCCTCTACCCTCACCTACTGCAACAACCTTGTGCCTTGTCTCTTCACTTCCAGACCTGTGCTTTTCAAATGCATCAAATTACTGCTCATCTATCTAAAATGCAGAGCTGCGTCAATCCTTCACTGACTCTCCTTTGCTTTTCGTTTTTTTTTTCCTTCTTTGCTTTTAGAGTGAAGACCACACTCAGAAATGTTTCCAAAGCTTACTGAGACCAGGCCCCTGCTTACTTTTCCAGTCCATCTCCTATACTCTACTCCATGCTTCATGCTATCCAACAATAGCAAACTGCTTACAACTGCCTTTCCGTAACACTACGATGCTGCATATCCTTATGACTTCACACATATAGGATCCCCTTCTTTAAATCTCCTCCCTTTCCTTCTTCAGTTGGCTGGACTGATAATCCCCTAAGACTAAGCTCATGCACGTTCTAGGAAGCCTTCCCTAACCACACTCCCAAGGCTAAATTTATTCTTCTTTTGTGCTTCCAAAGCATCTTGAAAACTCTCTATAATAATACTTAGCAAGTACCACTGATTATTTACTTGTCTTTCTCCTCTAAATAGAAAGTGATTTCCTAGGCTCAAAGATTCTCTCTCACTAATTGTAAGAAACTGGTACCTAGTACATACCTGCTAAAAGTAATCACATCTATGCTAAGTGTTACTAAACTGAGGTAACAGCCTTCCCTCTTTCCTTGTGCCTTCCATAAGGGATGAGTAAACTAAGTAACAGAATGTTTTAGGAAGAAGGGAAGCTTATTAACAGATAGTTCCATCTCTAACCTTATAAGTATGCAGAATATTCTAGATCACCAAGGAAACCATTGTTTTTTGCCTTGGAGAATCAACACTAATATGATCATGCAGATGAAGGACATAAGAATAACAAATCAAACCCTACAGAATCAAAAAACAAACAAACAAACAAACAAACAAACCTGCAAGAGAACTCACAGTAGAAAAGTCTCGGACTACAGAATCAGGAGCCCAGGATTT